GCGCCCCCACGCCCGGCCCGTTTGGTGATCGATTGCAGAGACGCGGTCCCGCCAAGGTGCCCGGGAGGGACTCGAACCCGCGGGCTCAGGCCGTCCTGTGGCCTCGGCCTCGCAAAGGGCGGGGATGACGGGCTGAGCCACCGCGCCCGGCCTCTGGCAGCATTTTTTTTTTTTTTTTTGAGCTGGAGTCTCACTCGGTCGCCCAGACTGGAGGGCAGGGGCCGCTCCCGGCCCCCGCAGCCTCGACCCGCTGGGCCCCCGGCGGTCCTTCCGCCTCCGCCTTCCGAGGAGCTGGAACTACAGGCCCGCGCGACCACGCCCGGCTAATCTTTGATCGGTTGCAGAGATGAGGTCTCGCCAAGTGGCCCAGGCGGGTCTCGAACCCGGAGGCTCAGGCCATCCACTCACCTCGGCCTCCCAAAGTGCGGGGATGACGGGCTGAGCCACCGCGCCCGGCCTCTGGCAGCATTTCAAACGCACCCTCGGACACAGCAGAGCAGGGGCTGTGCAGGCTGCTCTCGCGCCCTTTGCGGGGAGCCCGGCAGCCTGCGGGCCAGGGGAGGGGCCGTGTGATTGTCAAAAGGGTTGCACGACGTCGGGGGGGGGGCTCAGACGCCTTGAGCCGAATCCCGCGCCCACCTCCCGCTGGGGCTGTAGGCCCCGGGATGGCAGGCTCTGCCGGCCGGGCAGCTAGACCACGGGCCTGCCGGGTCCCGTCCAGAGCTCGGCGCTGCGAGTTCGAGCGCCACTTGACAGTTTCGAGAGCTGCCAGCCAGCATTCACAACTGTGAAACAACCGCCTCGTTGTTTGGGATCGCATTGAAACGTTGCCAAACCTGTTGCATGCCTCTCCTACCGAAGCTCTGATGTTCTTTTTTTTTGGAGCCGGGGGTCTCACTCTGTTGCCCAGGTTGCAAGTGCGGTGGCACAATCCTGGCTCACCGCAGCCTCAACCTCCTGGGCTCAGGGGATCCTTCCGCATCAGCCTCCCGAGTAGGTCTACAGGCGTGTACCACCATGCCGGCGAATGTTTTTGAATTTTTGTAGCAATGGGGTCGCACTCTATTGCCCAAGGCTGGTCTTGAATTCCTGGGCTCAAGCAGTCCCTCCGTCTTGGCCTCCGAACGTGCTAGGATTACAGGCGTGAGCCGCTGTACCTGGCCAGAAACTGATTTTGAAGGAAACTTGATTCATCGGATCGGATTGTTTAGCTAAATAATGGTTTAATTATTTGGTCAAATTTGATTATTTGGTTGAATTTTAAGTTTTTCAAATTTAATTTCTAATATTAAAACCTATGACCCTTTCTACTTAATTATCCAACAATATCCACTGTATACTTGTTTTCCCCCGTTCTCACTTTTCCACCACGAGGGTATATAATCTCATCCTTTTTTTTTTTTGAGTTGGAGTCTCACCCTTGTCGCCAAAGCTGGCGTGTAGTGGCACACTCACAGCCACCGCAACCTCAACCTGTGGGCTTAGGCGATCCTTCTGCCTCAGTCTTCCAAGCAGCTGGAACTACAGGCGCGCACCACCATGCCCGGCTAGTTTTTGTGATTTATTGTAGAGACGAGGTCTCACCAAGTTGCCCAAGCTGGTCTCAAACCCTCGGGGCTCAAGCAATCCTCTCCCCTAGGCCGCCCAAAATGCTGGGATTATAGGTTGAGCCACCACGCCTGACCTAATCTTATCCTTTAAAAGCAACCTCAGAAATTTCCCTCGCTTGGTATTGCTCAAAAGATAAATTTGCAGGTCTTCCCGAGTCATATGTAAAAAAAGAAATGTTCATATATGCTGTTAGGGTCAGGTGCAGTGTCTCACACCTGTAATCCGAGCATTTTGGGAGGCTGAGGTGGGGGAATTGCTTGAGCGCAGGAATTTGAGACCAGCTTAGGCAACATAGTGAGTCCTGGTTTTACAAAACATTTAAAAATAAATCAGGTGTGGTGGCACATGCCTGTAGTTCCAGCTACTCAGGAGGCTGAGGTGGGAGAATCACATGAGCCCAGGAATTTGAGGCTGCAGTGAGCCAGGATCATGCCAATGCACTCCAGCCTAAGTGACAGAGGGAGACCCTGACTAAAAAACAAAAAATTATGCTGTTAGGAGTTACAAGGGGGGAATGCCCCCCTAAAAACAGAATTTACTTATAAAAATTGTATATTTAAGCCGGGCTCGGTGGCTCAGCCTGTAATCCCGCGCCTTTGGGAGGCTGAGGTGAGCGGATTGTCCGAGCCCGCGGGTTCGAGACCCACCTGGGCAGCGAGACCTCACCTCTATAATAAATCAAAAAATCAGCCAGGCGTGGTAGCGCATGCCTGTAATTCCGGCTACTTGGAAGGCTGAGGCAGAAGGATCACCAGAGCCCAGCAGGTCGAGGGTGCGGTGGCTGGAAGCGGCCACTGCACTCCAGTCTGGGTGAGAGTGAGACTCCAACTCAAAAAAAAAAAAAATTGTATATTTATTCTTACATGTTTAAACTTCAGTCGCCTTCAAAGTACTCTTCATTTGATGTAATACACCTATCAAGATGTATTTTTCCACTGCTCAAAAGTTTTTGACCTCGTCAGTTTTAATGCCTCTTAGTGCTTCTGCAGAATGTTTGTTTTACCCTTCCACATCTGCAAAATGTTTCCCTTTAGGGACTTTTTTCCTCCGGGGAAACAAAAAAAGTCACACAGGGAAAGATCAAGTAAATATGATGAATAGAGAGGATGGGACACAGGGGTCACGCTGTTTTTGGTCGAAAACTGCTGTAAGCTCAGTGAGGTCTGGGCAGGTATATTGTGATGGTGGGAGAACCAGTCAACCTGTTTGCCACAGCTCGGGGCATTTCTTCCACAAATCGTGATGCAGCTGTCTCAAAACTTCCAGATAGAAATTTTGGTTGATCATTTGATGAAGACAGAAATTCTGAGTGTCTTATAAGGGGCCTGCCCTCCAAAAAGATAATTCTGTATTTTGGGGGGGTCCCTCTTTGTACCTCTTAATTCATTTAGAGGGAAATACCTTCCTTTGTGATTAGTAAAACTTGTTTTATTGTATTTCATGTGACTTTCAAATATTCACTTTTTAAGGAAGTAATTTTAAGTCTCCATTGTTATCTTAAACAACAAAACAAAGCAAAAAGGCTTTGTAAAATTTTATGTAGGACAAATCCTAAGAGGTAAAAAAAAAAGACCTTTCATCCCTCTGTCCCAGGGCTTCACAAGGTGGGGGTCCCGGGACCAGGAAATGGGTACACTGTGCCCTGTTCTAAGCATAGGAGAGTTTCAACTCTGTTCCTTGCCTGGAGGTTGTTTATACTTAACATTTAAAGTACCTGAAATATCAGATCTGGAAATACATAAAAGGTAGAATGAAAATCCCACAAATTTGTGCTGATATGTGGATAAACTTTTATTTATATACCAAAGGGAAAACCAATATTCAGTTTAGGTTACTGAATCCATACTTCCAATAATAAAGATGTTTAATTTACTATCCACCCTTAAAAGGCTTCATATAAAATATGGCTAGGAATATACATAAAGAATTCAGATTATAAAACTCTCCAAGTAATTAATGGTCATAATAATACTGGAATTACAGTTTTAAAAAAAGGCAATCTTCTAGGGGTCCTAACTGTAGTTTACTTGAAAGTACAGATGATCGGTACCAACTTCATATATCAAGTTGGAATGGGCAATTGTAAGCCAACAGTATCAATGTGTATAACTTTATAAAATTAATCTCAAGTTGTTATGAGCTGTATAAAAATGAATACTATTCTTCCAATTCTCCCAAAAGCTCTACAAAATCAGTGATATACCATTTGGCGTTGTCCTTTACTTGTTGCCTGACCACATTTCCTCCAAATCCAATGAAGGCATCCTAAGAAGGAAAAAAAAAAAAAAGGGAAATAATTTAAAAGAAGAAGAAGATGGAGCAGCAGCAATGCAGAACAATAAGTGGTGTTTAAGACTGTTTCTTCAAGCCGGGCTCGGTGGCTCAGCCTGTAATCCCGCGTCTTTGGGAAGCTGAGGTGAGTGGTTGCCTGAGTCCACAGGTTCGAGACCCGCCTGGGCAGTGAGACCTCATCTCTACAATAAATCAAAAAAAATCAGCCGAGCGTGGTAGCGCGCGCCTGTAATTCCGGCTACTTGGAAGGCTGAGGCGGAAGGATCGCCGGAGCCCAGCAGGTCGAGGCTGCGGTGGCCGGGAGCGGCCACTGCACTCCAGTCGGGGCGACGGAGTGAGACTCCAACTCCAAAAAATAAATAATAAATAAATAAAAAGACTGTTTCTGCAAAGCAAGGTAAGCCCAGCCTCCCCTAGGGAAGCTCACTATGATAGGAAGGCTCACCTCCCTGCCTCCTGGCCTCCCCGCCTCCTTCCAGCCCTCACTGCGCTTCCCTGTGCATCAGTAAGTACACCAATGCGGCGAATCCATTCAGTGGACAAAGTGAGGGCTTTGGGAGAAGGATAAAATGCAGTTCTTACCCTTTTGTCACCAAGACAAATGCTTACAATAGTAAAAATCAGGCCAGGTGCAGTGGCTGCCTGTAATCCCAGCACTTTTGAGAGGCCGAGATGAGAGGATTGCACAAGCTCAGGAGTTAGAAATCAGCCTGGGCAACATAGCAAGACCTCGTCTCCACAATAAATGAAAAAATTCGCTGGGCATGGTGGCGCACGCCTATAGTCCCAGCTACTTAGAAGGCTGAGGCAGAAGGGTTGCCTGAGCCCAGCAGGTTGAGGCTGCAGTGGCCGAGATCGTGTCAATGTACTCCTTCCTGGGTGACAGAGTGAGGGTCTGACTCAAAACAAGAAAAAAAAAAAAAGAAACAAAAAAGTAAAAATCACATCAGTAGGTAATGTTTGAGTTCTCACCTGGATGGCAATCACATCCATGCCACGCAATTTCAAAGAAGGAAAGCTGAAAGAGAAGCCTGCAGTGGAATCCCCTGAACTTGAGATTCAGTAAGACCAGCTGTCTCCCAAATGGTGCCAGTAACGACCCTCCAGCATCTCCCTCCCAGGAAGGCAGAGTCTCAGTGTGTGTACAAGGAATGGCCAGGTTTCCTCATCCTGTGCTGAAAGAGATCTGTTGGCAGCGCTCTTCGTTTGCTAGTGATTGATTGATTGATTGATTGATTGATTGACTGAGACAGATCTCACTCTATTGCCCAGGCTAGAGTGCCATGGCACAGTCATTGCTAACTGCAGCCTCGAGATCCCGGGATCACGTGAAGCACTCTACTTTTCATAGTTAAAACTGTTTATGGTTATGCCATTTCACTAACTCCTAACTGATACCTTCTTTTGGCCAATGATCTTTTAAAATGGCATTTTCTCTTTTTCTATAGACACAAATCTTTATAAACTAATTTGGAAACACAAAATTCTCCTATGTGGCCTTTCCATTCATGCTTCATGCCACACAGTGGAAAAAAGATAACTAAATTCTTACCTTGAATTTAACCTCCTAACTGATCTTTCTGTCTCCGTGGCAACCTTTCTGCATGCCAGCACCAAACCAGCTGACCTAACACAATACTTCCTTCTCTGTCTAGAAGCCCTCACGGGCTTCCCATGATCTAAAGATAACACCAAAGTGCCACTGCCTGGCATGTTGGGGTCTTCAGCGTCTGCTAGAGGAAAGCCCCACTCATGCCCATCCTGGCCACTGGACCAAGACCATCCCTACCACGTCCCCACTCTGTTCAGCTGCCTCCCCTCCCTCGGGAAACCTCCCCACTAAGAACTGCCGGGCCTTTACACAGTGGCTGCCAATCTTCCTTTAGGTCACAGATTTCTCGGACTTTTGCGAGAGCTACACCCTTGCATGGGCATCACTTTCTTTTGGTTTGGCCAGACTGTCACCTTTGATGGAAAGGGCTGCCTGAAGTTCATAATTTTGTCATTTGTCATTTCTTGACAAGAAGATTGGAAGCACCCTGAGAAGACTTCATTTGACGTCTACATATTCCCCATTCAACGAACCCAATGCTTCTTACTCAGTCAATCCCAACACTGGTAATAAATCATCACAGCATGTTCACCTGGAACCGACTCAAGTAATGTTAAAAGAATCCAGAAAGATTCTTTCACACCTTTTTGGATTCATCATTCACAAAGATGACCGCTGTTTTAAGGTCTCCAGAAACTAGTTGGTAAAAAGCTCAGCATTGTATTTTAGGCTTAGTTTTTCTTCTTTTTTTTTTTTGGAGTCGGAGTCTCACTCTGTCGCCCAGACTGGAGTGCAGTGGCTGCTCCCAGTCACCG